GAGTGTATAAGAGGACCTTATGAAGCCTTCCCCGACACTATGGTGTAATTGAGGAGTTCGTCTACATAATCCAGAATTCATACAACGAACTACAGTGAAAAGTCGTGCACAGAGGACAGCCGACAGGTGTGTTGCAAATGAGGACTTGTGTTAGATAAGGCTACTTACTCTCTGCCTTTCTCTTTCCTTCGGCAGTTGACTGGATTACGAAGATCCCCATATCTCAGGGGAAGCACGGAATAAAATCGACAGGTTAGATGCAATTAAACGAGTTGGACTCTGCAGATGACCTTGCTCTTCGCTCCCATACACACCAACAAATACAGGTTTAGACAACCAATGTGGCAGAAGCCTCTGCATTGGTAGGCCTCAGCATACACAAGGAGAAAAGAAAGATTCTCAAATACAACACCGAGAACACCAACCCAATCACACTTGATGGAGAAACTCTGAAAGTTATAGAATATTACAAGTAGCTGGGAAACATCATCGATGAGCAAGGAAGATCTGATGCAGACATAAATGTGAGGATTCACAAGCAAAGGCAGTATTCCTACAATTGAAGAACATATGGAACTCAAAACTACTGTCTGTCAACCAATATCGAAGTTAGAATCTTCAATACGAACGTCAAGACCATCCTGCTGTGCGGAGCTGAAACGTGGAGAACTACTACAACCGTCATCAAAATTTACAGGTATTTGTAAACAGTTATTTACGCAAGATACCTAATGTCCGTTGACCGGAAATCATGAGTAACAGCCTGCTGTGGGAGAGGACAACCAACTTCCAAATGACGGGGAAATTAGGGAAAGACGCTAGAATTAGGTAGGACATAATTGCGGAAATCAAGAAGCCGCGTCACGAGCCAAGCCCGTGCTGGGCATTCTGAAGGGAAAATTAATAGATGAAAACCAGGGAACACGTTTCATTTGGCATTGGAAACAGACACTAAATGAATGAGTAGTAATCGGAAACAACTGGAGAGGATTACTCAGGAAAAAGTTGGATGGAGAATGGTGGTGGGCGGCCTATGATCCTCCACGAATGGTAACAGGCATAAGTGAGTAGGTCAGTAAGTAAATAGCGATTCAATGTGACTAACCACTGGAATAAAATGTCATCTGATAGCTTCGTTAAAGGAAGCTAATCATCCCTTTATAGTCAAGTCAAAGTAATTTATCACACTTTTAATGATGTGACAGCAATACCAATTTCCAGGCATAAGCAGGTCACAGTTTATTTTAGATTGTTAATGACATAAAGACTGTTATAGAAATTTATATACGACTTATCAGATAATTCAATTCAGAGTCAATACATATTTAATGGTTCATAGATCATAATTCTCCTTCCAAGTTGATAGCATGATAGTCCATACAGGTTCTACAGAACGTTTGTTTTAAAAAGTTTAAGAATATCGAATAATGTGGTTGATACCAAGTTTCTGAGACAGCCTTACAAATTCATCGAAAATAATAATATTTATGGGTTTTTCATTAAGATGTACCAACACTGATAAGATCATTATGATTAACTATAAATACAAAGCGTATGTAAAGATTACTCATCTCAAACAGACCTTTATTCCAAGTGTTTGTTTTTCATCAGTTTGATATGGGTAAACGAAGTGTTATGCGCTTATGTTAGTTTTTGAGTCTAAGATACAGATAATAATTTCCTGGCTACAGATAATCAAAAGGAAAATATTTGATACGAAATTAGTTGATTATTTATTCTCCCTCGAACACACAATCAAAGTGTTGCCTCAGGGCAAATCATGTTATATTACCTTTCGAAATGTTGTCATCCATTATCGAAATTCAAAGCGACTAAAGATATTTACTCGTAATGATTTATATGGATTTTACCAATTCTTACCTTGCAAGTGTACATTATACCTACACCAATGTAAAAGTTAATGAAAATAAGCTGAATTATGCTAGAGAATGTATTCGTGATGTGCTATTTAGTCTATTATTATTTGAAGCTTGATGAATAGGGAAGTATCTCTTTGGTTGCTTCTTTGCGAACTATTCAAGTATAGTATTTATATGAAAATCACTTCAACTAATAAACTCCTTTCGTTTTATAATCTTGCAGATAGTGTTTAATAACACTTTGTAATTACTAGAAAGGTTTATTTAATCAATTCTGTATTTACATCTCATATTATGAAGTGACTGAATGTCAGTCTCCTGTGATAAGGATGATACTTTCTTTCAAACAAGTTACTGAAAAGTATGTATGTAACTTGTCAGGGTAATAATCACTCAACAAATAAATAAACTAGAGAAATAGAAAAGTAGTTCCAATGAAATTTGTGGAGGTATTGGTTAATTTAACCGGAAAGTAATTCACGATTAGCTAGGATTTTTATGCTCTCTTTCGATTATAAATAAAATGCCGTTTAATTTTCAATAAGTAAGCTTCCGAATTACGAGATGCAAGGTAGTTGCGTTCCAAGACAACAAACTTTTTATGGAAAGCAGATGTTTGTGTTTTTACTACTTACAAGTAGCATAATTATTAATGCAACGTTTCTTTGTAGTGACACTTCGTAACTTTTTGAAGTTATTTCATTCTCACAGTAATTACTTTGACATAGAAAGTAAGGTTTTTTATAATTTAAATTCGCACCCCTAAAAATTCTCATGTCATTCTAAAGTACTTTACTGAAGTTGAAACACTAACTTAGCGACAAGAATAAACATTTACAAAGAAACGTTCAAGTATTCTCCATCAGGTCGATTAGCCATAATTATTCACTTTAAAATACTGAACGTAAATAAACAAGAAATTTGTTGATGTGTGACAACATGCTGAGGATTCAGAAGACATGATGAATCTGTCTAAACTATTGTGGTTCATTCTGAGCCGTTGTTATAAGTAACTGAATTGTTAATTTTTAGGCTTAAAATAGAAGTCTGAACACTGTTTACCCATTCAGTAAGACTGTCATTAATTTAATAAACTAATTAAATATTTTATCACAAACTCTATCACTTTTCCAACCTACATATCGTTGCACGAATATAGTATACTGTAGTAAATGACTTTTCATTAATCCTAGTATGCCCTAGCTAACTCATTGATTACATATTCTAAAGCTTACCAACTAATTAAGCTTCATTGCACCGAACCATGCCATAACTGAAGTGGTTGCTAAACTTAACTTTTTCAGTTCCTTCTTCTAGACTAGTTGTCAATATTACCTAGTTATTATATACATTTTTACAAAACGTAAACCAAACATCCGAAAATTTTACTATAGTCACTCGGAATAACGTGGCTTTTATATATATATATATTTGAGCATGAAATCTGGGGTTAGTGAAATTAAATTTCATAAGTACACTGACTACAATTTGAAGTGAGAATGATGTATATGAGCGTTTCAGATGCCTATTTTAAAAAAATGAAAATGATGTTTTGCAATTCTGAATTTGATGATAAATTGATGAGGTCAATAAACCTTCAGGGAGGAAACGAGGTGACATAGTATATAATGTTGCATACAAATAAAACATATGTTAGAAATCTTGAAAGATGGCGTGACAAACACACTGGCTATCAAAATTCTGCAATTTCTAAAGGGGATATGGTTTACTCAGTTTGTACAATTAATGATAACCCTTGTAACACTGTTAATTTACTTTTACATATCTTATATGTCATGGAAATTCCCTTTTGAAGTTTCCAAACACAGCTCTAAGAAACAATACAAGTGATAAAAAGTACTTCATATATCCTATTTATGTTGTCAATCAAACCAAATGCCAGAACGTATGAGAATATATATAATTCAATAATTTCACAGCTAGGATATTCTCTAAACAAAATTAAGTAATATGTTTATTGTTAGTAAGCTAGTTCGTTCCTTTACTCACCCTATTTATGTATGACTTTTTGCCTTGCCTAATTCTACGTACCGAATTCCACATAATAAGCCAGTACTTAATCATTAGTTTGTGATGTGATATATCTCGTAATCTATTGATCCATTGCTTATGTCAAATATTGTAACAAACAGTTACGTAATTAGTACACTGTAACTAACTAACTAACTTGATATATAAAACCAACACGCTTAAAATTTGAATAACCATTAATACATTATTAAATGAAAAGTAGTGCAGTCAACACTATAGGCTACAATCGAAAGTTAGTATTACAATAAGTAATTTATAAACATTTGTGAACTTTCAAAAATTCACTACTTTAACACATAACATTGTTTAATTCATTTATTTATGTCTTATTTTAGTCACTGTGTTTTAATAATTGTGTATTCATAAATGTTGAATCTGGTGTTGTTGAAAACAGCTACTTACCTTAATACTCCTTATTTGTGAATTATCTGTGTGGAATTTCAGACTAATTATTTTGATATTTCTATCTGATTAAATTATTATATCTATACTGCTTACCAATCATTGCAAATATAGCAGATTCTACCTTGTTTTTGAATTACATCCTATTTTATCGATAGGGTAATAATATCCACTAGCAAAATTTAAATAATCATTGTTCAGATAAGACAAAGCCACTAAAATCATATGGGCTGTTTGTAACAGTATCTGTAGCAAACAGAAATGTTATAAACATCAATAAATTATTGGTTTGGTAAATTTGTAATATCTTCTGGTACTATGTTATGTGTTCCTGTCATTATTGAAAGTCAAGTTTCACCAACGCAATCATTATGTAACGAGTTACCATAATTCACATAAAAAATCCTTGGTTGATCACTCGGATATAATGATCTCATTTCAATCAGAAATAGTTTACAAAATCTATTCATCATCGCTTTTAGTATATTTCGATTTAAAAATCTAAGCCAGTAAATTCATTATAAAGGACAATCTCAGGGAAACATTTAGTAGTTTATATATATATATATATATATATATATATATATATGATATACAATAACCGAAATTAATTTCTAGTTTAAAATATGCTCATAAAAAAATTATGAAAATAAACATGAATATATTATAAATAAATTAATATATTTGTAATATCCCAATGAGTAGAAAAATTAGATTTTCTGACGTTTCGTGACTTAGTGTGAGCTACTTCTTCAGGGTGTAAATAACCAAATCAAAATTAGTCCAAGTTTAAATAGTACAACGGAATATATTATTATTCCTAAGAAAATACAAAAATTATTAAGTTATATTCGAATTTCGTACAATCAAACAATAAAACTAAAATATATTGTGCATGTAACGTAAATATATATTGATCTCTGCTAGATACTAACTAACTCATCAGTCTTAAGGAAGTTAAATTAATTGACAAATATGTCATATGATTGTTAAATTGAGTTAACAGTTAGAATGTCACTGAAAGTGTGTCAACAGAATATCTTGCATAAAATAAAGCAGATCCCCACAATTTTCGTTTTTTATCATATTTTAGACTTACTGATTTTTGCGAAAACGATCACAATAAAACGGGTAGAAAAAGTAATCATTTTTAATAAATTCTTATTTATTCACTAATATCATGAATTCAGGCATTTGTATTATTACTAGTCTTAATGAAAGCATACATTTTACCGTTAAAATAGTATACGAGTGAAGACAAAAGAGATGAGTAAATTTGAATTTAGAAGATCGATATATTCAGCCATTTGTGAATGTTATCAATGATTATTTCATATCCAGTCAAAATAATATATATTTATACGGCTATATATCCTGTCATGATGACAGCAAAGGGAATTAGACACTAATCCTGCCGATATTTAAACTTCTTTTCTGCTATTTCTACACATTTGCTACAATTATATTTCGACTTTATTTATTTTGTGAAATTTGGTGAGTTGGTTTTTCTTCCAAAATTTAATCTACGTTTCATGCGGCAGAGCACAGATCTAAGAAAGTATCATTTTATCCAGTTGTTATATTTCTAAGCATGGTCATGTGGTTAATATTTTTATGAGTGTACTGTTTATGTAGGAAGGTGTACCGTCATAATGTTTTTAGCTGAATCTGAGAGATCAGAATATGAATAAACCTTTGTTATCAACTTATAATCAATCCTACTGAGATTGGTAAAGTAAGAGTTTTATACTGAAGACAAAAGCGAATGTATCATAGTAATTAAGAGATTTTATTTTCTGACGCACACTGAAATCTGATTTTCAGATTACTTTAAAGAGATATGGCGAAAGGGATTGTCACGTAAGTTGAATTGTCAATTGCGTATGAAATACTCAGAAATAAGCATACGTAAAATCACTTCATAAAACTTCTGGAGGTGAAGTGTTTTTTACATTTAATTTTAAAACAAGGATAAGTTGTTCAAATTGCTCGATGACATAATATATGAACTCCAATCATAAATGTAGTTTATTTACATATGAAGTGTCGTTTTGTTAGACGAGATCGTTGGGAACTATCTCTTCTATAAAATATTTATAGGGATTTTGTCTTATTAAAGCTATTGATTTTTTCAAAATCTTAATCCTATTAATAATTCAACATGCATATTGATATCGTAACAAAGTTACTGAGAATGAAATTTCATTTTAGCGAGATTTGTTTATTAAAATAAATCTTCATATTTTTGCTCGGAACATTCAAGGTCAGTATGTTACTTGAGGCTGTCTTCAATGTTTTTAGTGTTTAATGATTGTGTGACCTCCAGCACTTCCGGCCATTTCTCTGTTCATTTAATGTATGCATATATGTGTGTAATTTTAATACAGATTACATTCCAAGTTTATGGAGGCATCGTCTGCCACGAATATGTAAAAATTCATATGGAAAATTTTATTGTTTAAATAGTTAGATTATCTGATTTTCTTAATATAACACTGTAAATTTAGAAGTTCGTAGGATCAAATTGAATCATACTGTTAATAACCCAAGCAATAAAAAGCAAAAAATAAAATTTTTAGAATTCATTGGTTGTTATGAGGAAAGGCCATTTCCATTGGTTTAACAATTTCATCAAACTTTTCCCCACATAGTAAATTCAGCTCAATCGCGCTTTCACGCAATCCTTTTTTGAATTTCGATGCATGGTGAACCAGTTTGGCTGATAAATCATAACCAATATGAGGTGTTAGAACCGTAACCAACATAAGAGACTTATCAACATATTCCTGGATTTTTTCTCGATTCAGCTGTAGACCTTTGACACATTTATCAGCAAAACAACGTGTCGAATCTGTTAACAGTTCACACGTATGTAAGAGATTTGCAGCTAGTAAAGGTTTATAAACATTTAATTCCAGTTGACCCTGAGATGCTGCCATGGAAGTTGTGAAGTGATTACCCATTATCTGCAAGCTAACCATTCGTAGAGATTCACATTGAGTTGGATTGACTTTACCTATTATATAAGGAATAAGGGCAAAACAAAAAACAATGTGAACATTTCGTAAGAGAGTTTTACCGAAATATTTTATCGTTAACAACTCCAGTGTGCGGAATATTTATTTGACCAAAAATTGAGGATAGCTAAATGATAATTTTGATTGTGAAAAGGAGTGTTGTGGTCGGTATTCGATATTATCCTTAAGCTTCGTATACTGTTCGTCCCAATAATCGTTACTAGATAATGCCTCCGACGGTGTATAAACCAGAAGATGAATACGAAACGTTGATAACGTTTATTATTGCACCACACACTGGCCATAAAACCAGTAGTAAGTAGGATTAAAATATACATATACATTTTAATCCTACTCATTTGACTCGCTTGCTTTTCGGCACTAGCCTTTCATTTTTGTTTTGTGTACCTGTGCATGGTGAAATCATAAACGTAATCAACGCTTCGTATTCGTCATCCGACTTATACATCGTTAGAGGCATTATTTAGTAACGGTTATCAGGACGAACAGTATACGAAGTTTAAGGATAATATGGAATACCGACCACAACAAAATTGGTGTTTCCCGACGTGCGAACGCAATACAGCTTCCTACAATTCTATCGAATTACGAAAATCAACCTAGTCCATCGCGACACAAATAATTAGTGTGAATTATTATCATATTTTCATTACATGATAATTATTTCATAAACATTATTGAACATATTTTTACAATATTAATAACCACAAGTAACGACATGCACATAATTGTTATACTGCTGCAGTTTAGTAAGTCTGTTCTGTGTTATAACATTTTATCATTTGTTATCAGCATTATTACGGTCTATCTAATTCTTTTCCCTTATATATAAGTTAAATTATTTGTGTACTAATTATTGTATATAAACATCTCTTCAAATAACGACATGATAGGCCTTCCACAAACGCCGTCCGTGAGGCCCAGATATAACATCACAGTAGATGAAAGAATAGATACGTTACAAAAAGATTAATATTTTATGCCACAAATTGACGAAGCTAAATCACAAAAGAGAGCGAGCGACAAAAACCGAGTATGCTCTAAAAGACGCTCAGCTCCAACAATATGCTGGTACCATCAAAGGTACGGCAACAGAGCCCGGAAATGTAGACCACCATGCAGATATAAACGGTACCGCCGGTTACCGGTAATGAACGCGACAGCTAGCACAGTTCCTAGAAACAGTCGTTCATTTTATGTCCAGGACAAAGAAACAGGCGCTCAACTCTTAGTAGACAAAGGAGCAGAAATAAGCGTCGTGCCTCCAGTGAACAACGAAAGACGAAGTATTATTACGGCACTAACCCTTAAAGCAACAAATAAATCCGACAGAAAAACATACGGGAAGCGAAAATTAACCTTGAACTTCGGTCGTAGTATTTCATTTTGCTGGGAATTAGCTATCGCAGATGCGTCCGTACCTATAATTGGTATTGATTTTTTAAAGAATTTCGACTAACTAATGGATCCCCGACGAAACGGGCTCGTGAACGGAGGCTATTCAGTAAAGATAAAAGGAGTGACCGCCGACCATCTATGAACTTAGTAGTGCAAAAGACAAAAGCGAGCCACAGAAGTCGTTTCTAAATGAGTACGCCGATTTGACGAAGGTATCATATGACAGCAGAGATCTTAAACATACTGTGCGGCACTACATCATAACGAAAGGTTCACCGACTAACGCAACACCATGAAGGTTAGGCCCAAAAAGGTTAAAAATTGCGAAACGAGAATTCGCAAAATTGATGAAACTTGGTATCATAAGGCCATCTAATAGTCCCTGGGCATCCCTGTTGCACAATGTTCCCAAAGGGAATGGAGAAATCAGGCCAGGAGATTATAGAGCCCTTAACAGGGGTTTAGGACATTTATGACCCACAACTGCAGAAAATCATATCAGAAGTGAATTGTTACCCGACAACAGCAACTTGAGACATCCAAAAGCTGGTCATTGAAACAGTAAAAATATATAATTAAAGGTGTATTAGGTGCGGATAAATTATTAGTTTCAGAACTAATTTACGGGAAGTTAAATTCTTAGAGATCTTTATTTCTAGCTTACTTAGTAATTAAGTTATTCATCTGATTAAGGACCCGAGCTAACTGAGAAATATATGTATATGAATGAAATAAGAAAATGCTGCCCTACCGTAGAATGTGGATAAAGAAAATACCTAGCCAACCTTACAAAATGATAAATAGGTTCACAAAACTGGACATCGAGTGTACAGATGGGAATCCGAGTGAGAAATAAGACTAAGAAAACCAGATGATTCAAAACCATATTCTTCTCATCAGTAAGAACCAATTTAGTGCTTTTTGAGGAAAAAATTCATAGGTCAAATTTAAGATTTGAAAAATATGGTGATTGAAAAAATTAACGACAAACGTATGACAACTATTTTTTAAACTTTCAAGATATTGAAAACCTCCCATTCTTACCAAATGTACAATAGAACCTGGATTCATTACTGTACAAATAGCTAAGTCTTTTGATAGATATTATCAGTCTAATATATAGCACCGGAATGCTTGCATTAATAGCTGTTAGGTATCAGTTTTAGTCGGTACGCCAATGTAAATACTGATACTAACCCAGGTGAGGTGATTTGTAAAGTAAAAAGAAAGTGGATGTTTTAGATTCAAGTGAGAAATACCTTTCTATTCCATTGAAAAATCTTTCAATTAACACTCCACTGGATCCAAGCTTGGAAAACAAATTATATTTTGCAGCTTTATCACTTATGAAAATTGAGATTAAATAGCCAGAATACGTTGTTTTTGGAAAACACACCAAGAAACAACAAAACCACGACCTCGAATTTGGCCCGAAAAACATTATTTGAAGTAGGTATTATAGCATTGAATATTGGTTAAGGAAGTCCAACCGAAGGTTAAAAGTCAAGATAATCCTAGTTAGCTAACAACTTCGTCTTATCAATCTGACAACTTAAAATAATATTGTCGCTGAGTAAGTTTTAGGTTTGTTTCAATGTTTTACGAGCGAAATTAATAACATTGTGCAAAATGTATCTAGTCTCCTGTTAAGCCAGCTTTAAAACCACCTTCACCACATATTGATACGTCTTCAACACTTAGGAAACGCTTGTTAATTCAAATATACAGTGAGCTTATATCAAGCAGTACATTTAATTTCAAATAAATGCAAAACTAATGTGTTGTCTTATTTAAATAACATTAATATATAACCCTCTAGCCTTAAATAGGCTGTTAAGTAGATTAAGAGTGATTCTTTTATGAGTCCTGATTTTACCTTTCAATGAACAGTAATTGTGGAGATGCACGGCGGTGTTGTTTCACATCCAATATGACAATAAAATCCAGACTAAAATTGATAAAATTTAAAATCATTAATCAATAGCATTATTAAATAATTTGTAAGCTTCGTTTTTTTCATCTGGGCCAAGTAACTTAGCCACGACTATTTGTTAGAATTCCACAAAAATTCGCTCATTTAACATGGAAGGACCAGGCACATATATGCATCGGTTCAAGTTGTCACATCTCATTAACACAACAAGATGATCACCAAGTTCGTAGAAGCAGCTGCTTCAACGGTAGTATATAAAAGAAAGATAGCATATAAGAATATAATACAGGAAGGTAGAATTAATTGGTAGAAAGAAAGGTGTAAAGCAATCTTAATTTCACGGTTTAAGGGAAGACAAAGAGTGTATTAACCGACGCTATTGTGATCGATTCTGAGCCATGCCACACTGAGTCTCTGACTATTGGTTACGATAGTCACGCGGACACCGACTGTTGCTGCTACCTTGATGTGATGGTTCGGCTTGACTATCGTGGACTAATCGAGGACTACTGGCTGGAACCATCGTTCCTCAAGGCCTTATCATGCCGAACAGGTCGGCTGAAGAACGGTGAGACTAAAAGCAGCAAACCCAGAGTCTGAGGGCGAAGTCATATTGCTGACTGTACAGAGGTGTGACGGCAGTAAGGTGCTGCCATCGGACAACCAGCATAACAGAGATGTTGCCTTCCCACAAAGAGGGGTGAGGTTAGAAAAGATCGACGCTAAAAATGCACGTTCTGCACTGTCCCACGGATTTCCGTCTCCGACGATAAGGTTCCAATAATTAAGGAGCTGACAGGAAAGTTACTCGCGAAAATGCCGTGTGTGACTGGCCTCAAGCAGCTGTCCCTTGAGCATCGCGGTCACCCTTTCGGGTCACTAGCACCACCTCTAACTCAATTTCTTTTTCAGGTACCTCTAGAGAAACCCTTCCATAGTGTGAGCAACCGGGAAGTGGTGACCGTGATTATACCTCTAACAGCGATCAAGACCACTGTATTCATAACCAACATCCCTCTTTAATTCTTATTATTCCTCCCACATTGACTTTCAACACAAAACTAGCTCCTTCGATTTCCTCCTCAAGTGTCACCATAGCCAACGATTCTGGTGCGCAAACAACCGTCCCAGGTCTACTGAACGCTCGCCGTTCGGCTAAACAACTTCGTAAGAGCCCGGATTGTTAGTCAAAGCAAGAAAAGTAGTTTCCATAAATTTAGACAGTTCATCATTTAAGGGCAGCAAGTCTGGTATGAGCGAAACAATCTGCGAGGATGACGGAACGCCAATCACTAACATCCATCGACGTCTTGGACGATGGGCAGTTCAACTGGCCTGATGCTCCGGTAACATCGACCAGACTGTCCTGCTCACCATGGCCGGTGACGACTGATCCACCAAAGGAGGAGGAAGTTCGCAAGGAACTCCGACACTTAAAGCGCTACAAATCACCTGGCCCAGATGACTTACTTCCGGCTCTTTTTAAAGATGGTGGTGACTTTCTGACTAAGGAACTGACGACGTTGTTTACAAAGGTCTGGGGACTACAGAGTGTACCAACGTCATGAAATCAGTCGATAGTTGTCCCTATCTTTAAAAAGGGTTCACGTCGTTTTCGTAACAACTATCGGAGGATAAGTCTACTTCCGATTGCGTCCAAACTATTGGCTTCCGTCATAATTCGCAGGTTGTTCAAAACGCAAGAGAGATTGACCCGCGAGGAGCACCCTGATTTTCATTCCGGTCGAGGATGTATTGATCATATCTTCACCATCCACCAAATGTTAGAACACCGCCATACTTATCAAAGGCCAACAATCGTAGTGTTTCTTGACATCAGGGCTGCCTTCGATTCGTTGGATAGGACTGTTCTCTGGGATTGTCTATTGACGAAGGGTGTGCCTGAGAAGTTTATTAACATCCTAAAAGCCCTATATAAAAACACCTCAGGCAGAGTGAGGGCATACAACCACCTCTCTCCATTGTTCCATTCGAGTAGTGGGGTTAGACAGGGTTGCCCAATCTCACCATTCCTCTTCAACTTTGCCATCGATGACATTCTGGAAACAGCTCTGATGAATGTAAGTAATGGTGGTGTGGATCTGTTGCCTGGAGAAAGACTTCTCGACCTTGAGTATGCGGACGATATTGTCTTACTGTGCGATAATGCCCAAGCCATTCAATCCGCACTTAATCAGTTGGCAATCAATGACCGTAGGTATGGTATGTGCTTTGCACCTTCGAAGTGCAAAGTACTTCTACAAGACTGGCTGGATTTCAATCCTGCACTCACCCTGGATGGTGAGCACATAGAAGTAGTCGAGAAGTTCGTGTATCTGGGTAGCTGCATAGATGCTGGTGGTGGAGTGAGTAATGAGATCAATACACGTATAGTGAAAGCCAGAGTGGCTTATGCCAATTTAGGCCATCTTTGGCGCTTTCGTGATGTCAGTCTGGCTGTAAAAGGTCGGATCTACAATGCGTCGGTGAGAGCAGTTCTGTTCTATGTTTGTGAAACCTGGCCTCTCCGAGTTGAAGATGTTAGACGACTCTCTGTGTTTGATCATCGTTGTCTCCGAAGGATTGCTGACATCCAGTGGCAACACCATGTTAGTAATGCAGAGATTCGGCATTGTGTGTTCGGACGCGGAGACGATAATGCGGTTGGTGTCACCATCTTGAAACATTGACTTCAGTGGCTTGGACATGTTCTACGAATGTCGTCCCAGAGAATTCCACGTCGTGCATTATTTGCCGACTCTGGGACTGGTTGGAAAAAGCGGAGAGGTGGTCAGTGTATGACATGGTGTCATGGTATGAAAGAAAGCTGCAAAGGACTGACCTGTGTCGGTCCTTTATGACCTCCTGGATGGGGTCCGAGTAATGGTGCGACACAGTGGCTAGAAACGTTATCAGATATGGCTCAGAATAGAAGCCAATGGCGATCCTCCTATAACCTTCTTTTACTTTCTTCATAAAAAGTGGTTGTGTCTCCCTTAACTGGAAGATTTCTTCTGATTGTACCTTTCCGTTCCCCCATTATTACCACTATCATTATTACACTACCTTACACCAATCTCTTCCTTATTGTTCTTTTTTACCCTCCTTACCGTTTATCTTTTTCCTTCTCTTTAAATTCTCATTGTTTTGTGTGGCGCATATAAATTTGGCGCAATCTTGTACCAATATGTATGTGATCAAATAAAAAATAAAATAAGAACCCGGAACAATAAGGATACACATCGTTGCCTTATCGTTGTCTCTGTAGGTGAATTTAATGCCCAGGTAGGTAGCTTGAATCAAACAGAAAGACATTTAGGCGGGCATTTTAGTATTCCGACTCAGCGAACAGATAATGGTGATAGTTCGATGCAACTCTCCTCAAATAATCATGTTTTTAGTAAGCACTAATTCTAAGCATAAGGAGCGAAATCATCTAACATGGCGACCTCCTTCACCAAACCAACGATGGACTGTTGGGATATTCAGGAAAATATCCCAAAAATTATCCTGTTAAGCCTAGTGCTATCCTTGGACATGAAATAGTATCATCTTATTGGTCGGTATTTATTTAACGTGTCATTTTCCTACTGGCCATTATTGTACAATGTTATCTTCTATTTTATGGTACGTTGTGGACTGCTTGAATGGTATATAAACAAGTATGTTTGAAATATAATGATTCATATATCCGAGGCTGAGACTTTCGTTCTGGACTCAATTGGCTGGGTTAGACAGGGGAGCGAGACCAATCAGAACCCTAGGTCGTTCTACGTGTTTGTGCGTCTTTGGTCCGATCAATAATCCGCTATCCCTTCAGCAGCATCATTTTCCACGTTATAACAATTGGCGACGGGGTGAAGAAAAGATACAATCCAAAGTCATTCTGTAATTGGACGAAGTCCAGTCTAATTATCCAACCAATCAGCATCCAGATTGTCGTCAGTGTCCTTCAACGACATTGGTCATTAGTCATACAGTAATTCTCATCACTGGTGCTGATTCGAAAAAAATGACTCTTCCTTCCGATCGATTGCAGCTGCTCTATGAACGACATTTGGAGTTATTAGTCAAATTCCGTACGCAGCTGCTAAATCACTCACGCTGTGAAGACGCGACGGAAGTGGATGGATTGATATCTGAAATACACAGTGAGCTGGAAAATGACAGCAGCCTCCATGAATCCTCGATGAACTGTACTTCAAACGAAACAGTCATCCATCATGCGCCCAGTGGTCCAGTACTTTCTATTCCAGAAACATGCCCGGTAATGGAGTCAAACTCCATCAACCCCGAAACAGCATTTGCAGACAGTAACATATCCAGCTCACGAGAAGATCTCATTGTTTTGCCAGAAAATGTGTTTCACGCATCAACTAATAATCAAGAACCTGGCACAGTCTTGTTGGACGCGGATTACCATAATCATCCATTATCTACTAATGATGCTCCTCATAAATTTGACAACAATATCTCAGAAGATTTGAACTCGGATGATTTCGAATTGAGTGGTGTTTATCCTCATTATCTGGTCGATTTTACTGGATTCCCTGTGCAATGTGTTTTAAATACAATCAAATTAATTGTAATTTGGGTTTGTGAAGACCCAACATTATTTCGTGGGGGAGGATAGACGCGAGAAAAATTTAAAATCCAGACATCAACTCCGGATCTCCAAAAAAAGGGGAGGTGTTGGGATATTCAGGAAAATATCCCAAAAATTATCCTGTTAAGCCTAGTGCTATCCTTGGACATGAAATAGTATCATCTTATTGGTCGGTATTTATTTAACGTGTCATTTTCCTACTGGCCATTATTGTACAATGTTATCTTCTATTTTATGGTACGTTGTGGACTGCTTGAATGGTATATAAACAAGTATGTTTGAAATATAATGATTCATATATCCGAGGCTGAGACTTTCGTTCTGGACTCAATTGGCTGGGTTAGACAGGGAAGCGAGACCAATCAGAACCCTAGGTCGTTCTACGTGTTTGTGCGTCTTTGGTCCGATCAATAATCCGCTATCCCTTCAGCAGCATCATTTTTCACAGTTATAACATGGACTCAAGTAGACCATATTGCCATCAGTCATGGTTGTAGAGGTTCGATAGAAGACTGTCGCTCGATATATCGATATTCTATCAAACATATCTTCTAACCCCTTTGCTTCTGGCTTCACTGGGTTGGCACGTTTTGATTGTAAAAATGTTACTGATAAAGGTGTTGTTAGACTCCGTATACTTTGGGCACCGTTATACTTTAATGTATAGGCTCCAAGGGTTAGTTAGATACGAGTTACACGTTTAAGGCATAACAAATACATTCATTCGTCTTGTGGCGGTCGTTTTATTGAATTTGAGTCACACTTTAGTTAGAGGGCTAGTATTACTACCAAGTTACTTATGGAGAAGCAAGTTTGGTGTTGAGAATTGTGCACTGCTGAATGAGTCAGGCGTTTTAATCGCTAAGTATGTGAAGCATGGTTCCAGTAGACAAAACATAAGTTAAATACCTTCGGGGATTCGATCAGCTCAATTCATATGAAATCGAGTAGTGATTGAACTATCAGCCAAAAGAGACATCACAAAGAAAGTTGTCTACAATGGAAACGTATTTAACTTGCCTGGCATAATGCTTGATCCAGGTTCGTTTGCCGGTAAAACAAATTCACTGAGGCCACAGTTTGGTCCCGAGCTGAGCAGACAAAAATCATTAGACAATCGCATTAAAGCTGTAGCGGTGGTATTAAAACAACCACTTAACTGTAATAAGGTATCATGGCCTGCAAGAGCTGCAAATTTATTTTCAGCTGGTTTGAAAACGAGATCTATTACCGGTGTAGATTCTTTGTACATCTGTTAAAAGAATTTGAGAAACGTAAGTAAAACAACTTGTTTAGCACTCCAAATATTTGTTTCCGAATTTAACTGAAACAAGAAAATCCTAAGTAACTGAGGAGTAGGATTCTTATTCCCATTATACATTATAAAAGGGAAGAGGATCAAGTAATCATACATTAGACGCAGAAAAGGAGACAGCGAAAAACCTAAATCTATTTCCAAACCTTAACCATCAAATGCAAATCATAATTTTAATTCCCCACACTGGTTTATAACTCTCATTTGGTCGTAGTTATTAGGCGGACACTCTCAAGTTAAGTCTAGCTTCGCTCAACGGTCGTTCATAAATTATAGTCTCACCGAAGAAGATTATTGTATAACAAGGTAGTGTGGAATAAACTAATAATGTTGCCAGTTGCACTGTTTGGCTTGTCACGGAAAAGTCTGGATGGTATGTAAGCATTGGATAAGGGCGCTAGATAACGGAAACTCAGTGGATGTTGTCTACATAGACTTCGGTAAGGTATTTGACAAGGTGCCAACAAATAGACTGATATTTAGGTTAGAAAATCCTAATATTTTCGGCCCTCTCTTAAAATGGCTTAAGGATTTCGTAGTAGATCGTAGACTGGAAGTAAGAATAAATTCAGTGTTCCACCTGGAGATCAGCACTTAGTAGAGTGTCTCAAAGTTCTGTCCTAGGTCCTTTACTTTTTGTACTATATGTAAATGATCTCCTAAATATAATACAATCCCCAATGTTATTATACGCTGACGATGTAAAGATCTGGAGAAAATTAACGGGGACGCAGATGCGTGCCCACTTTAGGCAGACGTAAATATTTTGATTAACCGATCTAAGGAGTGGCTGATGACTATCAACGCGGCAAAGTGTGTCTAAATGCCCTTTGGGGATACAAAAATAAAAAGGTATAGCATAGAGTAAGGGCCTATACTCGTAGTCCGGCCTCACAATGATCTTGGGTTGACAGTGAGTCATGATATTAAGACCACAGCACACTGCCGTGAGGTCGCAGGCAAGTGGTTTAGAACCCTGTAGGCTTTAAGACGAACATTCACAAAGTTAGATACTACTATATTCACTACACTATACACAATCTTAGGCTGCAGACCCTTGTTTTTAAAAGGTGACTCATATATCCTGGAAAAAGTACAGAGGGCAGCTTAAATCAATTTAAATTGAAAAGGATAAAGTTTGCTCGTCCTTCCCTGGCCGTTTGAAAGCTGATCATTGACTCTCACATACAAATGTCCAACGTTTAAAACTAAAAGCTTTTTGTTGACGTCAAAAATATCGTTCTTTTGTCAGTATCGGCAAAAACAATTTCAAGTATCTACAAGTAATAGCAGCGAGTTATTACGTTTAGATAATAGTTATGAAGTGTAGGAAAGTTATTTCGGAATTTTCGTAAACTAAACTTACAGTTCTGTAAAGACGATCAGCTAATTGTGTTAAGCCCACACACAGTTCCTCGTCGAAACCTTTAAAACAATTTAGCCCAGTTCCCACGGCAGTTCCACCAACAGCTAAATAACAAATCAACGGTAATTGTGATTTGATTGAATCCACTGCCTGCTGGAGTTGACTCACGTATCCACTCAATTCTTGTCCAACGCTCATTGGAACAGCATCCTAAACTAAATATATAACATTTTGAGGATATTACTTGCATATGGGTCCTTCCAATTTTGATAACATCCATAAATTCATGCATCTTACTTTTGATTACGTTTATGAGGTGATTCAAAGATGGAAGAACCTTCCATGCAGTTTCCATTGCAATACTCAGATTCATGGCAGTGGGAAAAATATCATTTGAACTCTTAAACAGACAGTAAATGATAAAGATGACCGAACCTGTCCAAGATTAACATGATCGTTGGGATGAACAGTCAGTTTAGAACTGCGTGAACCTTCAATCAGTTCGCTAGCTCTACTCGAAAGAACTTCATTGACGTTCATATTAGTCTGAGTACCAGAACCAGTTTGCCAAATAACGAGAGGGAACTCATTGTCATGCTGTCCATTGTATACTTCGCGACAGGCCTTTACAATAGCGTCTGAGATTTTGGAACTTATTCTCCCGAATTTGAAGTTTGTACAAGCAGCAACTTCTTTGATCATAGCTAGAGAATAGACTATTTGCAGCTGAGAAAGTCATTAAAATAGACATGTACTTACTGGCATTGTGTCCGATCTTGTGCAGATATTAAAGTTCTCCAGAGATCTAGCAGTTTGTGCGCCATAGTAGCGTTCTAAAGGAACCTTCATGCATCCTAAGCTATCCTCAACAACTCGTAAACGTTGTGAATCCGCTCCAATCATGCGTTAGTCGATAACTGCAAAATGTGTTTGAATTTTTTGAACAATTTTAATCTTGTAAAACAAAATTTAGACAGCAATGCGACAGTGTATTACACGAAGAATCATGAATAATAGATAATAGTGGAAGAGATGTAAAATGTTATGTTGTAGCATAATTGGGAACCTTCATGTGTCTAATTGAAAACATGGGATTACCGTTCGAAATTGGTTCAGTGCCTTCGTGATTAAAAGTTGCTTGGCGGCCATATTCCGGTTGTGTAGAATATTTTTGTGCACACTATCACTACAAGTAAGCGCGCTGCTAGTGTGTCATAGCTTAGTGAATTAGAAAGTTCTCATTACATATGGCCGCTTCATACCTGGCATCCGAATGGGAAACATGAAATTCGTTTAGTTTACTTCCCGATTCCTTCATATTCGGAAGATTGGTTCTCGGACTTCACTTTTAGTTTTTTGTGTTCTATATATTCTGATGCGTTTTCTCTTCTTATCCTCGGGACATCTAGATGCTTAATTCATATTAATCATTAATTACACATTTTAAATGATAGTTATTCATTTTTTAGGGATTTCAGTCAACGTTCATGGAAGTATTGTTACTTATTATTTATTTTGAGGATTGAGGGAAACTGTTTTTTTTGCACCGGAAAATACACAACTTTGTTCGAGAATCTCATCAAGGTTACAGCGGAAAACATACACTTACTTAAAAGCTACCTTTTAAATTGAGTCGATTCTTTTTCGAAAATGTTATCATACGAACAAGCTATGGTACCCACATACTAATCGTGGAATCTTGAAACATCAGGTCTGTTGTGCCGACGCGCTAGTACCATTTATTTCAGCGTGTAGGGAATTAGTTATACCTTTTTATTGTACATCGATAATTTTTCACAGTTTTCAAAGTGTCAGTGTTTTTCAAACAAATCCTTCATTAAAAAATTCCATGGTTTTTAGGAAGCTGGTACTACCCTGGTGTTATTTCCTCAGTCAGTCACAACTTAGAATCTCATACATATGTGCATTAGTACAGAGAGATGAAATCGTATGGCCAAATCTCAAAATAGTACAGGAATTAACAGTATGAGTGGTGAGTGAAAGGATTAGTCATTCGAATTCGAGAAAATGTGAACCAGTGGAATAATAACCCAAAAGAAGTAATGAAGAACTCAGAAGCTCAGATTTTCACGGGAAACAGAATAGATGAAACCTAGACCATTGTGAACGGTTCTGAACTATATAATTCAGTCCCTAATCATTGATTACGTTAATCACACGTACCTCAACTAAGTAGTCTACACCTATTGACATGACAGTCCAACTTCCAGCGACTTTATAGAATAGTGCCATTTTTTTGGTTTGGCCACCTCTAGCTTTCTTATAGCCTGCTTTTACATTAGACATCTATCATTGAGGTAGGCAGTGGTTCTCAATACGTAGCGCATCTTCCAACCATCTAAATCGATGGAGATCAACTCGTCAATTGAATTGTCATCCTTACCTAGTACCCCACTCCTAACTCAGGCATTGTTTAGTCCGTAGTCCTTAAATACATATGCAATGCTTCAAGTACACCTTTGATCGTATACTAGTAATTTGCAAAAATCCTATGTTGTTAATGACCATGTTTCACACCTAGGAAATAGAACACAGTAAACTCGTCCAGCCAATGTACGAGTTTCTGGTGTTATTCAACAGCAATTGGATGTTCTTTTGTCACATATTAGTACTCCTAATGGTTTTCTTAAGACTGAAATATATTTAATGCCGAGGAGAGTAAAACAAAGGGCCATATCATACCGTAAACTTTATAAAACATTCAGCCAACACGTTGCTCTTTCGAGCCAAAACAATTTTCCTTTGTGTAGATGATTTTAGTTGCCAGCTCATACTACGATATCTCTTGACTTTTTAATGAATTCTCAATTGCATATATATTATGCCTCGAGAAAACATGCAGTATTGTTTGATGAATAGGGTCATGCACTATGGGTTTCTTTGGTGTCTTGGCTCTGATGTGCACTATGTTTTGTTCGCCTTATCCAGCAGTAGGGTCTCCCTGGCAATGACTGTCAATATGTATTCGTATATAAACATTTCGTTAGGGATAGCAAATTACTCACTCTTCTGTACCCGAGTTCTCGAGGTTATCACTGTGCATCAAATATCAATCAGTCGCTCAGTAAAACCAGAATCAGAACCTTGTATATGTGTAACGGTTCAACCAACTACACCACATTATTATAGCAAGACGAAATTATTAGAATCAGTGTCAGTTGCGTGACACACGGTACCCATGCTCAAGCACCGACTACTACTGCGCTCAATACTGACTGGTGTTCGAGACGGTTGGAAGTAAGTTCGGTGCGGCCAAATCAAAATTTGGCATCAGTTCATAAAGTCACTAACTTCCGGTTTAAGCCATGTTGGTAGATGCAGACTACTTGGTCGGGGTCCGCGCGCCTATCGTAACGAGTGGTTGGAGACTCAGAATCGACTACAATGGCATAGGTTTATACACTTTGTCTTCCCTTAAATAGTGACATTAAAATTACTTTATACCGTTCTACGTTTTAACTCTTCGTGTATCATATCCTTATATGAAATTTTTTTACTATCGCCGAAGTAGCTGCTTCCACGGATTTGGCGTTGATGAATTAGGTGCTAATGAGGTGTGACAACATGAATCGATGCATTTATATGCCTGGTCCTATGTCCTGGATGACTGAACACTGATTTCAAATTAGCTACTACTAGTTCAGGAAGATATGTTTTTATTCTGAAGATATTGTTCATGTACTATGACAGTTGCAGTCTTGGTAAGTTATTGATAGTCGAGCTATGCGACTAATAGTCTAAAAGCGTAGATTTGCTATCGATCCGAGTTATTTTACTGATGGAACGATGAAAAGTGAGATTTAAACTTACTTTTCAGATAGTCTTATTCTTTGCAACATTTTTCAAATAAATGTTTATTTTCTAGTTTTTGAGTTAAAATCTTTTGGAACCAGTGTTTCCATGTGTTTTTGTCAAACCACGTACATGCAATTTGAAAACCGATTGGTAAACAACGAGACATTAGGTCCACAGAATCTTCTAAAATGCACTTAAACTTCCACATCTTGGAAGTTACACTTATCCATGCGCTGCAATAGCTCATTACATAAGAGAAATAAAGCACGGAATATGTTTTAGGGTCTTCGGACTGACCCAGACAATGCTTAAGTAGTACCTGGCTCTCTAACACAAAAGTATGTTTTCTTAAACTTGTTTGTTAACTGTTTTGCATGTGAACCCATTTTGTCCTTTTTTTATTTGTTTTTCCCATGTAGATTGTAAACGTTCTGAGAGTAACAAGTACCTTTTCATCACGTATCGGCCCCTTGTCGATAGTTATTTGGTAAACTGCGTATTACGATTTTCCTGTATTCAACTTTTGGATGGTTAAAGACCGACTGCCTGAGCTTGAAGCTGTAGTCCTGTTACAATTTTTTTATTGTTTCTTGCGTTTATAGCGTATAAAGGTCAGAAATGGAAATGCCAGGAAGAAGGCAGAGTTTGACTTTTCTCAACTACATGCTGCTGTTTTCGATCAGGTAAATGTGTTTGTTGGTCTAATTATCAATAGGTCAATGAACTTCACTCTGATATTGATAATTTACGGCAAGATATTAATGCAGTTGACAGGCTACAAAAAGACATACTGGCTACACCTCAACAAGATCCAAGTAATGTTATTTATTCTTTTATGGTTTTAGAACTGGATAGTCAACTTAGTGAGCTCACCAATTCCATCCGAGAAAAGGCTCATAAAATTCGGAGTTCCTTGAAAGGTAAATTCTTTTTTCTTGACTGGGATCGTCTACAATTGTAGAATTAGGGCAACAGGAAGATGATAAACTTCTGTCAGGATTATCTGGTAAATGTCGTCTAAAGTCGTCTCAGGTTTTGGTTTTGGGATATCTTATGCTTTCACTTTAGCATGCTGCTATTTCCCGACAATTCGTCCATATTATGAACAATTATAGTCAACTACAAGTAGATTATCGTGACAAGTGTAAGGCTCGAATTCGAACCAAGCTCCGTATCGGTAAGTGTCATCTCCGTTTCCAAAAGAAGTTCAAATATTTTTCAGCTGAAGTCTCATTTTCGGAAGATGAGGTTGAAAAGATGTTAGAAAAAAACCATACGGGTATTTTTACACAGGCTGTAAGTTACTTGATTTTATAGGCTAAATTTTCTTGGTCGTCATTTCGAATACCGAAATTCTAAGCAGTTTTACAATAAATTTCTAAGTGTAGCTAAATGCAACGATGTGCGGCTTGTCTCGATAATATCTTACCTTCAACCGACCACCTGTAATTCCATTTTTGTTCAATACTGTTAGTATAAATTACTAATTGGTTGTTTTGCTGACTTACCACGGTAGAATTACTCGTAGTATGAAGTTTTAGTATCATACTGTCTTGGAATAACAGGAAATCAATGTTTCATATATTTGAATGAAGACTGGGTATTGCATTTTAATAAACAACAACCTTAAATTTTATTACAGTGCGAAATAAGAATATCGTCACTCTTCAACCTAATGCAGACTCTAATGTTGTTATGATTGACAAACAAAGGTATGGAAGCAAATAAAATGGACGACACATATTGTTACTTGTAATAGTTATAAACACGTTTTTCGTATAGTGACTTCTCCCGATAAACCTCACCCTGATATACAGCTTACAATGGAGTAGAAACATAATACTGGTATTCACTGCAATGCAAACGGCCAAACAGAAGTATCTGTTCATCGAAAGAGCACAGGGTAGGTTTTATATAGATTTTTAGGTTCCTGTGCAATAAGCGACAAAAGAGCTTTGGTTATCAAACTGTCCGACCACGTACTGAAACTATGTTCAGAGTTAAAAGTTGGAGAGGAATGAACTATAGTTTAAAGGTGTTTACAAGATAATGGTTATCTACAAAAGTTCGCCAGTAAGTATGCGAAAGCAAAGGCCACAGGAATAGAATGTGCTTCAATAAAAAACCCAGTTTTTTAAAGAATTAACTCCAAAAATGATGAGGTGGTTGGTATGATTAATCGTAGACTATGTGTTGCTTTAATGGGGACATATCCAGTTGTTGGACTTGTCTCTTTGTATCAGACGAATTGCTCACTGAAGCAGACAATTCTCACTTCATGTTACCTCTCACTATTTATCAGATGCCGAAGGATTTACACTGAAAGGACAGAAAGTAAGGTTCTTGTTCGCATCTCAGAGCACATTCCATAATAAATGGGGCCAAAAGTCTAACGTGTTTCGAACTGTGCGGTTAACTGTCGTCTGTTTGATAGTAAACAGAACTTCGATATTTCAAAATCGTTCAGAATAAACATTTTACAAACTGTTTTGAATTGGTCACATTTAACCGAAGTCGTTACAAGATAGTCGAAATAACCGATTTACCCAAAAGCTAGTCTCTTTGTATGTTAAAAATTATCTACTATTTTGACACTTGTTAATGTATAAATATTCGACTGTCGAAATGTTTTTAGATTCGTTCCATATTTATTTTGCTAATCTTCATTAATATGATATATGTACTTTAGTTTTAAACAGTTAATACCACTGTTTCTAGATTGTTAACAGTTGCGCAGCAACCACAAAATAGCGTAGTTCGTGTTTTTTCTGCTAAGTTTGTTGTTTTTACTTTATTCAAATTTACAAATAGCAAAATAAATTACGTCGTTCAACAATAGTAGTATCTCAGTAGTTGTTCATTCTTAGTTGAAGCATAAGTACATTTAAATTTGACTTGTATTCTTTGTCCTATTGAGTTTCGAGTTTTGACTTAACTGTGCTCATGTATATTGTAACAGACTAATTGTTTTCTTAACCCTCAATTTGTGTAAATCACAACTGAACCATCAATCTGCATTATCTTGTCTCCTTATATTTGTTTTTAACCTCGTAAACTTTGGTAAATTTCTGAGCATTTTGATCATAAGTTTTCTTCATACGATGCCTCATAGATAGTTTTCTCAAATTAGATTATGGCTGAAACAGAAGCTGCGAAGCGATCATTATCGGATATCGAAGCTCGTCATGCAGACATTATACGGCTCGAAAAAAGTATCCAGGAGATGAAAGAGTTATTCTTCAATGTCGCTCTTCTAGTTGACCAACAAGTAATCTCTTTTAAATTTATACATGTTTTACTACAAATTCTTTATAATAACGATTGGCTGTACTTCTCATAATTTTTAGTTGCACGTTTGATTTACGAATTCAGTATTATATTACTGTGTTCGCTTTCTGGGATCCATCGTTGTATCTCGAACAATAAGATAATTTACTTAAAAGCATCTAGTAGTCCCCTGAATAGATGTCGTTTGTAATATAACTTATAACTATAGACTAGTTTTCTGTTGTTTTTCTGACAATTTACTGGTATAACAATTTGAATCAGTACGTTTGAGTTACGATACTCTGTAAACGTTTAGTCGAAGTAGTAAAAGTAATGGTATAGAACTGTAATATTTTTTAAAAAATGTTGAGTAATGAGACATTTACTAGCTTAGATGGATGTGCACCTCTGATTAGATGTTAGTAGTATTAACTGAAATTTTTATGTTTTACTAAGTTTTCGAGAAAACTGAACACCTATAAATAGTTCGGATTAACAACAATTGATTTCATGGATGGATGCCATTTTGATCTGATTATCATCATCGTTTTCCAGTCGTCATTAGAACCACGAATCTTCTTAGGCATCCACTTAGGATTCGTAATAAAACTTAACCATTTCAGTTCCTGTAAGCTCAAAACCCTATGGAGTTGCTTAATCTCCCGATCTCTTCATTTCGTATCAGATGAATTAAGTTCTACACTCTGCCTTGTGATGTCTATTTTCTGAATAGTCTTGTTTGCTGATACGTTAGCATTAAAGCTTTGCTCCCATATATCTTGATACGATGAATCTCAAGTTTTACTACAAAATATAACATTTTAAACTTTTAACCCGGACTACCTTTGAAGCAATTATCCCCATTATTTTCTTGCTATTTTGTGCTCTTTATATTAGGGTGATTTAATCGACCAGGTTGAATACAATTTGAACAAGGCATCTGACTGTGTTGTAAATTCAAAGCGTACCCTTTCATCAGCCGTAATTAGAAATAAGAAAAATCGTCGCGTAAGTGGACATTTTCATTTATTTTTTTGCCGTGAAATTGTTGCTAGCTTCCCTTAACTGTGTTTTCAGTAAACAGTTTGTCAGATTCTGCACTATTCCTCGCATTAACTTCAACAACTGGACCCTTGTGTATATGAATTGTGTAAACCATGGCCGTATACATGAATAATCTTACCTAATTACTGAGTTTTGATTGAAGAGTGTGCTATCCGGTTTGTTTTCGGTCGCTCTCAGTCTATAAAAAAATATCTTTAATTATGTTTGTCATGAAATCGTTTCATTGTTCAGTGTAGTTTTATTTGTCTGTTACATTTTTAGAAGTAAAATTGATTGCATAGCAGATAAGAGATCAGTATTTAGGTGACTACTTTTAATCTGAGCGTCTGAATTCCAGTGATCATGTATCAGTTTCAGATTTCTGAACACGCACTCCAGTTTGGGCTACCGATTTGTACTATTAGCCTTCACACGTAAAGTAAGACTTAGGTATAAGTACTTATTATTGGCAAATGAGTTACATTCATTTATTATAGAGATATTGTTATTTCACTTAATAAGTAATTAAAATAGATCGAATTCTAGTTTACTGTGAATTCCTGGTTTAGTGCATTTTCCATTTTGGTACCGTTGGATTTGATTTAGTGTCTTCTATATTGCTTTTTTAACATCCGTATTAAGTACTGACAATACTGAAATTCTATCCATCTAATGTCAGACTAAATTTTATCAACATCATATTATGTATATTCTTGGAATGTTTAAATGTTTGCACCGCGCTCTAAACTTCATTTCGAAGCTCTCAATATTTGGACCTTATCTTCAGTCAGACAACAAATTTTTTTAGCTTATGACTCCAAGATCTCGTGGTGTCGATTCATGCTCTATCTCCGAAACACACATACAAGATCTGAGTTTGGTCATTCTCTTGACATCACCTAGTTAATAAGCGGAGCCGGCTCGGTCTACCCTTCATTTATCTGGGTATTTGGCGCTACTCCTAGCTGCCTCACTATCGAAAATATAGGTTTAAATTCAAAAGCGTAGTTCGGATGAAGTAAAAGACAATATTTATAGAAGCTCTCCATCCTCTACAAAGTTAGATGTCTAAATGTAGTAGTGGTAACAGATGACTGTATTATGTAAATGAGTAGTCTACAGAACTAATACGTCTGAGACGGATTTTGTGATGCATTATCCAAAGTCGTCAGGCATTAATTACGAGTATTAGGTAGGGTCTAGCATGGTAGCTTCCACAGATTAACTTGACTCAGTCTAACGGTTTATGATCTTATAGACTAATCCTAACTATTGATTTGACCACTCTAACTTCCTTTGACTCCCTCCTACCCCATTAGACATTCCACATCTCTGTGGGAAATGGTCAGAGACGCATAACATATGTCCCAACTTCATTAGTCATGAAGATTCATACTCATCAATTGATTTATCATCGTTGTTTGATATCTCAGTTCTAACCTCACTATTGGTCACTCAGTCTTTGTACGATACGCTAGCAATGTTTTAAAGATGCCTCTTACCTAAAGTTCGTAACCCACGCCAGTCCTCTGCTTTCATGAACTATGTTTTACAGTCGTAAACTAATAGGAAGAGAAACGCTACACACTGTACTCGCCCTTCAGTCAGTCAGTTAACAACATAGAACTTTGTACGTACGTACATCAGTTCGAGTTGCCATACCACGTTAGCACAGAGATGCAGTTGTCGATTCAAGTCCCGTAGTGGTAGAGGTAGTACAAATATAACCAGTAATCGGAAAGATTAGGGTTTGAAGTTATGATTCAAGTAGTATAATCCAGTGAAATAAATTTGGAAAGAGAAAGAAAAGGGACACAAAGAATTCAGGGGATTAAAATTTGGGGGAACACAAGGAGTTGATGCACCTGAGCCACTGCAAACGATTTTGAGCCATGTCATTCAAGGTCCCTAACCATCGGTTGCTATCATCTCGCGGTCCCCAACCAGGTAGTCTACACCTACCAACATGACTCAGTCCACTTGTCAGTGACTTCATGGACTTGTGCCATGTTTTGTTCTGGACGCCCCTAGCTTCCATCCTACTCCTACACCATGAAACATCGCACGTCGAGGCAGTCGGTAGTTGGGCATACGTAACACGTGTCCTAGCCATCCCAACTGATGGAATTTCACTAGTTCATCAATTGATTTGCCAGCCTTACCCAGTACCCGTTTCCTAACAACTGTGTTACTTACTCGATGGTCCCAGGATATACGAGCAATGTTTCGAAGACATGTATGCTGCGATCAAATTACAATAAATAACCATTTAAAGTCATCAAATAGGCAAGTATTAAAGATCATGCTGTTAGTTAACCTATTTAGGACAAAGATGGGACTATTATTCACTATCAGTTCAACTTGCCTCCAGCCACTCATTTGTTATCCACACCCTGAATTGGAAGTTGACATGGATTCCCTAGCTTTTAGCAAGTTTTAAAAGGCTGTAATTAATCTAAAGCCAGGGAAAGTAGCTTGTTCAGATGAACCAGCCCCAGAACTCTTTAAAATGGTGGTCCAAGTGTGGTAGTTAAATTGACTGAGAACTCAGCTAGAATCTGGGGTCTAGACGTAATCCTATATGACTGATTTGGATCTCTGATCGTCCCAGTTTATACGAAGTGACAAAAGTCCTTTTGTGACAATCACAGAGGAATCGATTTGATTATTTAAAATACTAGATTCAGTAAGAATCGGATGCTTAATCAGGGCTCATAAAGAGCAGACCCGAAAAAACCAGGCTGGTTTCAAACCTGGAAGCGGATGTATCAACCAAATATTCGCCCTTCGCAGATTCTAGAAAATAGACGCACTTTTCGACCACAATTAAATTCCTCACTGGAGAATATTTTTAGGTTTCTAGTTTTATATCATACATGTTCTTACTTGTGTGCGTTGTTATCACTGAGTGAGGAATGTTGAAGCCATAGTTGACCAGGTAGTAGTAGTGGATTCTAATTGATTGAAATAGTTGGGATATGTATTATGTACGCTCAGTAGCTGTTTACCTCAATACACAATGGGGGTTGACGTGGTATTAAGTTAGAAGAAAATTAGGGGCGGCCAAACCAAAACATAGTATCAGTTTATTAAAATGCTGACTGTTGAACTGATTCATTTAGGTAGGTGCAGATTACCGATTTGGAGTCCACGCGATTATCGCAGCTACTGTCTGGAAACATAAAATGACGTTTATTCTTCATCTATTTAAACATGTAAACATTGGTTCAAAGGGGCACCATGATATATATATGGGCCACACAAATCGCTTGAACCAATGTATATGTGAGTTATTGATCTCGTTTACATTGTTAATCGTAGTGTAATAGATCTGGAATGCTTTACACATACGTTTGATAGCATAGTGGTTTGTTTACGATTTAAAAAGATTTATCTTACTCATTTATTGTATGTAGTACACATGTGTTGACGAAATTAAAGTAAGCCTTATTTAGCATATACCTTGGATTTGAACTCTGTGAAATGGTTTCTTGCTTGTTTATCGTATCGGGTTTTTGGGAAACAACGGAATGAACCGTAGGTTATAAGAATGACCTCTATAAAACACAAATACTTGTAATGCAAGCTAGCTACTGTATTGTATATGTTGTCTGTTTCTTATTGTTGTTCGTTTTTACTGTGCCTTTGTTGGTGTTATTGTTGTTGTTATTTTTCTTCAATATATTTTTCTCTTTGTCACACTGCAATTTATGTGGATCACTAAATATCAATCAACTAATTACTGGTTTAGTGCAAAATAATCTGTATCATATTGGTTGTTGTTATCTCCATATTGATCCTGATCTCATTAGCTTCCGCAATCGGTTTAACACGATGATCAACAGTTTATTTAGTATATAAGGATGAAGTTTGAAAACAACAAATTTCAGTTTGCCAAATTTTATCGTTATACTCTCAATTCAAATCAGTCGAGGATTAATTACAATAATAATACACATGATGCGTGCGTATACAAACACATTTCATTTACTCCTATCTTGTTTATTGTGTACAGAAAAGATTGGAAAATGATGCGCCAAACCAATCGTTCTTTTAATTTTTACTCACTTGAGATACTTGCTTTTTTGTACAAAACCAATTACGATAATCGCATTGATTATCACAATAAATACTTTTATCATTATCATTTTTATTGTAGCTATCTTTTATGTTCCTAATTACTTCATTTTTCAAGCGTATCAATAAAAAATATATGTACTCCCGCCAAATCCTTATTGATTGCTCGTTTTGCACGAGGTAATTTTTTTTATATTTTCTATAGTGTATCAGTAGAAAGTTGTTTCCCAGACAGTATATGACTAAAGTATTTTCTATTAATCAGTTGATAAATTCTGTTTACCTTTTAACAGCGGTGTTTATCAAACTTTTTATCAGTCGAATAGTAACTTGAAATAAGTTGTATAAGGAATTTTCAAGTTAGTTACCTAAGATTGTTGAGTCCCATGCAAGCTGATAAATTTCAGCCAGTATTCATTCTTTTTGGATTTTGATGAAGTTTGTGCTTCCAGGTCTCTTAGCACTTCTGTGATGGTAAAACGCGGAGAAAATCGATGTCGAAAAAATACTCACCCTACTATATGATCTGACATCTGACAGGATATCAAAATCGGAGAATATGGTTATAAACTAGTTTTGCAAAGTACACCTATGGCGCAGTCATGATTGGAAAAGACGTTAAAACTAAGTTCTTTAATGTTTAATTGACAATATAAAAGTTTTTCGATTCGTCTCTTTACCTTTAATTTGTTTTTGGTCTGTAACTAACCATTTTAATCTTTGAGGTTGATTTAGATGTCTACGTTATCGACCTTGGAACCCTTAGAAACTGATGGGTTTGTGACTAGCGAAATATCGGCACTGACACTAAAAAGCTTACTTAACTTCAGTTGATTTGTGGGAGAATCACTAAGTCCTTCATTGTTAACCCAAAATATTTAGTAATTAGTCGACTTTACATGCGATTGAATTTTGAACTTTAGTCAAATATTTTATTACCTGGATTGGTCTAACGAACTCTTGATCTGTTGGGAACCCAAGACACACAAGCATGCCTTTTAACATCCTAGCCGGTGAAATAGACATATATAAGATAGCGTGAGTAGGCTGATAGAAATAACAATTTGTTACTAAATCCGAAATATTACAGCATTTATTGAAAGTAGGTTATTCGTCATACGTCTAGAAAAGTACGCTTTTGATTATTCTCAAAGCAAAGGGATAGAGTGTAGTATGCACCCTTTTAATAGTCGCGCCCTTTTGGACGAACACCATATACATATTGAGCAGATAATTTATCATTCAATATTTCTAGTCAAAACTGTCAACTAAAACTTTAAACGGAATTAATCTATGGTAAAATATTCTGTATCTGATTTGATGATTCTAAATATTTGGTAAGTAGCTGACTTGTATACTTTAGTCGATGCTCGTACGCTAAAATTTCATCATGCAATGATAGATTTTTCTCAGTATTTCTGACTATTGATTGCACTTATTGTCAAGCATGTAAAACGTTTCTAACATTGCTTATGCCTAGATTCGAAAATTTCACTCGAGTTCTTAACTGCGTATATAGAATGAGTGTCATGTAGCTTGAGGCTAAATTCTCAAACTAAAGCGCTAACACCCAGTATACTACTGTCATTTACTTGAGTTGTTTATAGATAAAACTTGAATTCTTTGCCGTTAGATTTCTTCGTTTCAATAACATAAAGTGTAAAATTTTCTAGTTCTGTGATTACAAAATGAGTTAAAATTACTTTCATAAAAGAGTTTAGTTGCAAGTTCTTTAACATCATTGTGTTTTTTATTTCAACTATCTTACGGATTAGTAATCTTATTAACTGGGCAACAAACCCAAGGTCCGAAGGCGAAGTCGTACTACTGACTGTACAGAGGTGTGACGGCAGTAAGACAACCAGCATGACAGCGATACTGCCTTCCCACCAGGAGGGGTGGGGTTAGAAAAGGTCGACCCTAAAAATGCACACCTCGCCTTATCCCACGGATATCCGTCTCCGGCGGTAAGGTCTCAACAAGTACGGAGCTAACACGAAAACTACCCTTAAAATGGTCGTGTGTGACCGATCTCAAGCAGTTGTCCCTTGGGCACTGCGGTCACGCTCCCAGGTCACTAAGACCACTATTCCAATTTCCTTTTCAGGTACCTCCAGAAGAACACTTCCACGGTGTGGGCAACCGGGAAGTGATAACCTCCCTCATACCTCTAACAGCACTCAAGACCACTGTATTCTTTTTATTCCTATTAGCGCTTACTCATCATGTAATCATTTGTTTCTGGCTGTTTTACCTCTTGTTACAATCAATGTTGTAGAATGTTCTTTTACATAAGGCATATATTCATGATATTCAGTCTATTAAATTTACTATGCTGATGTGTCTTCAAAATAACGTACAATTAAACTTTCATGTATGTCATTTTAACCCTTTTTGTAATTATGTTTTTAAATATCACATTTTTTAAGCACCTGACGAGAACCAAACGAAATAAAGTAATTTCATGATGTCCTGCTAGAATCTTTGTTCTTGCTCTCTTCGAATTTTATTCCAATCTATTCCTTAAACACAAGAATATGCAGGTAGGCCTTAATTAGCTTGGTTACTTGGGCCTTTAGCTTTTAAAGTCTTGGCATCATAGGTAGGTTATTCCCTTTTCATATTCGTTTTTTGTCACTATGATATCTCATACCTTTGTGGGAAGGTTTAGATACTCTTGTCAAAATGTTTCTTGAGACGCGATGGTAATTCATCTATATTGATCATTCTAAGCAAAACAGTTTTAGTAATGTTCGTAATGTGAATTATCCCATGATGCATACAATAAGTATCCGTAAAATCAACGATCTAGATTCTGTTTATATAATTAACCTTGCTTTCCCATACAATTAGAATATTTCATGTAATATCTGTTATATCCTAGTGACGATTAAATTATAGATAAATTCCGAAAACTATTAATGAACTAATATTATATATATTCTTATTGTATAACTGTTCAGTAACTAGATTATGTAATATTTATATTTCTCTTATTATAAGCTCCATTTTGAACTATAGATTATTATTACTATACGATTTACTATTCTTAATTTATGTTCAGCTTATTAAAGTCTCCCACGTTCACAGCTACTTTTTGGCTTGATCTTGTATGAATGTTATTTCATGTTTGATGGTATGATGCGGTCTTTTTCGCTGGTATATAAACCAAGTATGTTTGAAATGAATGATCGATGTAGTGGAAGTTGTTATTGGTGTTCTGGACTCAAATGGACGGGCTAGGCGAACAAAGAACCAATAAGGACACTAGGATGCTCATACGGGCCGAACGTCATTGGTTTAGCACAGTACTAATGTTGAATAAGTTGTATTTCGATTGGCGAATAAATTACGTGATAACTATCCAGCTTTGAAGTCACAACAATGTCTTTAGTAGGTCAAAAGTCAACGCATTTATATCATAAAAGTTGTATATTTTACATCTGAACTGGTAACTCATTTTATTGTTAATTACTGATTGGTTGTTAGATCTTTATTTTTTTCTTTTTGAACGATTTATTTTCATTGTTGTTACTTTAGTTCCAAGACCTTTCTATCCGTGATGCATAGGAAGATTTTCTTCCCAGACAATCATGCACAATGTCAGCCATTCGTACAATTTGATCATTGATTTACATGAGTACTGTTTTAATTGTTCACTTGAAATTTCTAAATGAAACGTTTAATTTTTAGTTTAGAATAAAACAAAACTTGTAAAAGCTTTCAGCGTTTTCATTCTATATGAAAACAATCTACTGTATTTCTTTAGCTGATTAAATTAAAGGCAAATCACTTAGACATTCCTAAGAAAATTAATGTACTTGTAAAATATTTGTATGTTCCGTCAATGTGAAGTTATTATTTATAATCTGCAGAAATAGCTTTCTTGGAAAGTTGCGGAATACTAGATACATACTTATTTACTTCAATGGGAATTTATATCTGTATGATTCTTTTATATGATATTTTAACGGTGGTGACTTGAAAAAAAAGAATACTAAACTCATTTTTCTACTGGGATTAAGATATTTCACAGATTAATGTCCTCTAACTAAAATACAAACCAAGTGGTAATATATTAGAGTGGTAACAACAATTCATACAATAAATCAGAACTATATAAATAGTGTTAAATTAAGTGTCGCTACACATTATGACTTATTTTTTGTGATTATTTGTGTAATTGGGTCGGTATTATTGTAAATTATATAATATGGTTAAATATGTTTCACAGATTTTTACCCAGAGCAAGATCAACAAGGTTCGCAGAATAAAGTGAATCCATCATATTTCACGATTTCTTATCAGCTGCATGCAACCCAAAATTACAATTCTTAACATATAATTATCAGTATGAGGATTTATGAAGATCGCCATTATTTTCAAGTTGAATTCACGAGTCGATCTAAGCTAGACCACCATTGAAGACCTGAGAACACTGAATGGCCGTTTCTAGTATGGGACTCCTCAATAGTGCACATCTACGATCCTACACGTCAAACTTGAATCCAGGACCTTTGGTCTTGAGCGTGAACGCTTAACCTCTAGATCAATGAGCTGGCATCCAACGGTGTTGATGTCTAATTTCAATCGATCCATGATCATACACAACCCTTCATTCATTGTCTGAGGTGGACAACTGTCTCACATTCGACACGGATTGGACTTCACTGCACTGGTTACCAAGTCCCATACCAGGACAAAACGGTCGTCCAATGCTACCAGGGGAATTCAATCCGTGTCGACAGTTATCCACATTATTTATTTAATATTATTTCAACACAAACATAGGCACAAGAAGGCAACAGATAGATATGCGCCACATAAATCATTCGATTTGTGTGAGGGCTAGGATACTGCCCGAGTGCCCAAACGGTCAAGGTTAAGCGTTCACGCTCAAGACCAAAGGTCCTGGATTCAAGTTTGACGTGTAGGATCGTAGATGTGCACTACTGAGGAGTCCCATACTAGAAACGGCCATCCAGTGTTCCCAGGTCTTCAATGGTGGTCTAGCTTAGATCGACTCGTGAATTCAACACACATATTATTATTAATAGATGCCTAGCTTACTTTAGTTCGCGAAGTTTAGATAAGTGTTCGAAACGTAACCAAAATTACAATAATAGTGAGAAGAGTGGGGGTAATGTGTGTATGAATTAACATAGTTAAGATCGGTGTGTATTTATATGCTGAAAATTAATAATTGAAAGGTTATGTAAAGATAGTGAAATTAATAAGTGAAAGGATAGTCACATCATAATCATATAATAAATCGACTCAGTGGTTGGCCAAATTACTAGAACCAATTCGTAGAAAACTGTTGACTAGTTGTTTTAACGATACATTCCAGTTTTTCAAAGAAATAGATCAGTTCAATATCTGATAAACTCATGGTATCTTTTAATGTACGTTCATTATTCACAAGTATATCGTTAGAAAGAGCTACTAATATGATTTGCGAACAATCTAGATTTTTTTTGCCTCAAAATCAGTTTAGTAAATTATTACTACTTTGCACAAAAAGGGTTCATTTTCCAATCCAACAATCAACTACACAAGTAAACCGATGGAGTGTCCATGGGATAACCACTAGGACATGTCTTGGTCGATATTTTCACGACCGACCTAGAAATAAAGAAATCCAGAACACAAAATACTACTCAAGATATGTTTATTATCTGTGATGATATGGACCACACTTCTCGGTTACTTAGTCACTTCAATAATTCTCATCTCAACAGAACGTTTACAATGGAATATGAAAGAGATAACCAATTCAATTTTTTAAATGATGGAAGTCTTGAAAAGAAAGAAGGACAGGACAGTGTTGAACTTGAACAGCTTCAGTCCTATCAGTTACAAAGGGTATCTAATCAAAACTCTTCAATAGAGATCGGATGTTATGCTCAAACAGGCAAATAAATGAGGAGTTGGCTATTCTAGAAAAGCATCTCATAAAAAATGGATACCTGATGAAGTTCATTACGAAATGCAGAAAAGAATAACCCAAGGATGATAAACAGCAAGCTGAAAGAAGAAAACCTATCTTCATGCGCATTCCGTTCAATGGTGATGAGGTTTCAGGAAGAATCGATGGAAGAGTCAAGGCGGCACTAAAAATTAACTTCTCTGTTGCTCAACAGTTTTCACTATACAACACCAAGTGTTCATTAAATCTTTCAAAGATAGATCAAAACCCTACCGATGTCATCTCCAAAAGCATTTATGGATTTACATGTACCTGCGTTGGCAACTACTTAGGAAGGACAGAAGAAATGGTCTCTACAAGGTTTTATGAACAAATTCCTAGGAACCTACGACTGAAAGCTGGTAAAGTCTTTACAAGTGCAAATTCCAGACTCCTTTTGGATAGTAGACATGAGGTAAATGTAAGTAATGTATTTGAAATAATTAACAGACAAGAAACACCAACCTTACATCTTTCGGCGAAGGCCATCAAACGTTGTTACTGACTGACCTTACCTATGTATACTGAAGGAAATGTGATTAGCCTTTCCCAATTATGGTGATTTGTGTTTCGTCTAATAAGTTTTATTAATCTTAATTTAAAATCCTTTTTTCAACACTATCCCCAACCTTTTATCTTTGTTTCATTTCGGCTTCTGATATTCATCTCCTAAATAATCTTATTGACCACATATTTGTTTATTTTATCATGTTAAGCGGCTACCCAATCACCTATTAATTCCATTACGTTTACATAACCTCTGAATTATTACTTTCCGGCATATAAATACACATCTACCTTAACTATATCTATTGAAATAACATTCAGTTTCCTCCCTTACACTAATGGAACACTAATTTGCCATAGACGAATATTTACACTGGTTACCCTCTCAGTGTCTATTCTACTGGAAGTTGATACAACTCGGATCAAAGTGAATGGCTTAACTAGAACGTGAGTATATTTCCACGTCAACAACCGACAACAATAACAATAGTTATAAGAGTAGGGAAATATATAACACATCTAATACCTGTCAGACTACCTACTAGTCTGACTAGTTAAAAAAACTAATCATTATTTTCCTCGCCCATACATCATTCGTTCATAAATTTTGTATCCCTAATCTTTTCACTTTTATTATGATTTTGGTTACGTTTCGAACATTTATCTAAACTTCACAAATTTAAAGTATGTTAAACATCTATTAATAATCATACATGTATTAAGAATTGTAATTTTAAGTCGCATGCAGCTGATGAGAAATGGTGAAATATAATGGATTCATTCTATTCTTCAAACCTTGTTCTTGCTTTGTTTAAATTTATCATGGGATCTGGTTGTACAAGATTTTTAAACGTTCATAAATTCTAAGCAAAGATAGATGGTGGCTAGCAGTGGAGTCCAGGACGCGCGCTACACCCTACCTGGGACTCTCCAGATAAATGTACCTACATCCTATAGTTGATGTTCACTCCGGGACTTGAACGTAATACCGTTCGCCTCAAACGCCATCGCGCTATCCATTTAGCTATTGAGTCCTGATAGTCGTTATCTTGTGTAATGGGTTGAAGTGTAAATTCGTTTTGTATTGTTTGTTTGAACTTTCCCACTGATGTTCAGGACTCCAATTGATCAGTCTCTTGTTGGGATATGTGCATCCTATGTGGATTGCCTCGATATTGCCTTAAGTCACAAGCATTATAAGCAAAGATGAATGGCGGTTAGCAGCGGAATACACGACTGATCAATTGCATTCCTGAACATCAATGGGATGATTCAAACAAACAAGACAAAATGAATCGTTTATAAATTTTCTTAAACTTTTTTATTCCAGTAGTAAAATAGGTTATTCAAATTGATTCATGTTTGAGTTCTTGTCATAGAAATATAGATAAAAACTAAAGCAACACAGGGTCAAGCTCTTCATTTATTGGTAACTTACTTTCATAGATTTCATTTAACCGCGATTTTTGTGAAGTAATTAGCTGTTGTTCACCAACGAATGGATCATAATCTACAATCGATTCATGAATATCAGCCATCATTGAATCTGAAAGTTTGAAAATATTTTCCTGATTCAAGGATTCATCACCTTGAGAACGATTCAATAACAAGATGACGGTCCAGAGTAGATAAATTTCAGAATTACAAAGTTGCATTTCATCTCTTTTTATATTTCTGAAGAGCTTTTTGGAATCAACAGAAACAGTTTAAATAAATTAGATAATATTTTTAGTTCATTTGAATTATAAATAACTCGACAAATTGAAATCATACTTAGCAAAACCCTAAAGATAAATTTCAATTTAAGTATTAAGAATTCGAAAGACACCTTTTGGTTCAAAATGACTGTGTGGATGAGAGTAAGCAACCTTGCCTAACACCGGTCTTCACTTCGAACGACTTTGTCAACTGTCCTCCATGCACGATTTCGCAGTGTAATCCATCATATGAATTCTGTATGCTACTGACTATCTTCTGAGGCACGTCGTAATGTCGAAGAAGCTTCCATAGTGTTGTTCTGTCCACGCTATCAAATGCTCTCCATAGTAGTTCCTTCTCCATTGAGTAGATCATGAAAGGCCGGGAACTTGTTGCTGAGGACTATCTTGAATTTGTTGAGTTAGTATCCTGAAAAAAGGCCGTATTGAACTTTTGTGATATTGTCCGCCCGATTGTCCAGTGCTTCCTGAGATTCAATTTCATCTTGGCGACCAGCAAGTGATTATCTGATGCTATATCACCTCCTCTCTTGGTTCTCACGTCCTCTATAGTCCTCCTGAACGTTTTGTTGATGCAAATATGGCCGATTTGGTTTTGTGTAGTATGATCTGGTGAAGTCCATGTGGTTTTGTGTATGTGTTTATGAGGGAATATGGTGCCGCCTATGACCAGTTTATTGAAGGCACATAGGTTTGCAAATCTCTCACCATTTTCGTTCCTTTCTCCCAGTCCGTGTCGTCCCATGATGTCTTCATATCCAGTGTTGTCCGTTCCAACCTTGGCATTGAAATCTCCCATCAGAATAGTCAGGTCCTTTGTTGGACACTTCTCGATGATTGACTGCAGCCTATTGTAGAATTGATCTTTAACGTCTTCATTGTAATCGTTGGTAGGCACATAGCACTGGATGATGTTCATTGAAATGCCCTCTTTCTTTGTTTTGAAGGTAGCTTTCATGATCCTTGGTCCATGAGATTCCCATCCTATAAGTGCCTTTTGTGCTTGTTTGGACAGCATCAATGCAACTCCCTGTGTATGTGGAGCATTTTCTTCTTCATGGCCGGAGTATAACAGAAGCTTTCTTGAAGCTAGTCGTTGTTGTTCAACTTGTGTCCAATGTGTTTCACTGATCCCAAGTACCTCTAGGTTGTATCTCCTCATTTCTGCAGCAATTTGGGAGGCTCTCGCGGTGTCCCACATTGTACGAACATTCCATGTACCTAAATAAATGGCCGCTCTGGTTGTCAAAAGGGGCATCGGCCTCGTAACTTCCGAAGGAATTCGGCTTTCATCATGAGGCGTCATAGATCTTCTAAATGAAAACCTGACTCCTGGGGCAGAGTTTAAAAGGTCTGAATAATTTTTTCTGGTTAACGTTTTTTTTAGCGAGTTAGTTTTCTACGGGATGGGGACGCTAACCCCATGCCCAGCTCTCCTCCTTTATCCGGGCTTGGGACCAGCAGTAGCCCCCGGAGTGACTTCAGGCGGAGTTATGAATCCAATTATTAAATAATAATTCCCCATTTCATTTTGATGGGTCTCCTGGTGTAAGATTAAATTGAGAACGGGAGTGGAGTTTATCTTCAACCCTGAATTAAGCTCATAGTTGTTTTGCCTTCCTTAAATTGAATAGTATATAGTGATGAAGCTTCAACTGCTATAAAAATAAAATCATTATCGGCACAGATTTAGTAAAGAATCGAGAGATAAGCGTACACTTTCAAACAAAAAAATCAATGGACTGAATGAACTTAGTGATTTAAGTTATGAAGCTTACATTTGTTTAAAATGTGAGTAAGTTTGAAAACTTTTTTGTTAGTGACAGAAACTTAGTTACAAAGTGACCCTATCGGTTCGAAGGTTTTTTGTGCTTCATTATTTGCTCATTATTTTAATTGATAAGTCACATTATATTATAGAATTTCAGTTTCTGATTTCATGCTGTTGAGTCCTCTATGTAAAAATAAATATCTCAAGTAGTATGAAATTATTTTGAACAGATGAGTATTATTCTTTAAATTTAAACAAATCAGTATAGTTTGAAGCTAATTATGTGAATTTGCAGTTAATAAACAAGATAAATAAAATCAATCGTATTGATATCAACTTTAACAATGTAATATATTCTTGTTATTTCTTAAGTTAATCCATTAGACCTACACTTTCTGCTTCCATATAGTCAGTAACATCGTCTTTATTGGAAATTTAGTAACTTATAGAATATTTTGCTTAATTATCATATAAATGGGGAACAAATAGTCGTTTTTTATTTATCGTCACACTAAATACTCAAACAAATCTCATTTAGGTTACTCTAATTAGAAATAAATAGGTAACAACTGTTCGGTTATCAATCTGACTCAATAAAAGTTTATCTTTGACTGATTATACAAAATTGAAACCTGTTTCAGAAAGTGATCATTCAATAAATTACAACGAAATTGTTGAAGCCTTCTGGAATAGGTTTAGCACACAACCAACAAAATCATTTCAATCAATACTGTGCAGACCAAAGGACGAAATGACAAAAGAGGAAAAACCGAACATCATCTACAAAATAAATTATTCTAATCACGAAAAACACTACATCAGACAAATCGGACGCCCTCTTCATCTTCACCTGCACGATCATCAACTAGCGATCATACGCCATGACATATCCTCGCTTATATCAATACATGTGGACACGCATTCAAATGGAAAAATGTTGAGATCTTGGATAAAGGCTATTCTAAAAACACCAGAGACTTTTTAGAAGCTTGGCACTCAGGTCAGTCAGCAATCGATCAGCACATTGAAATCGATCCAACTTATCAACCAATCAGAAAAATTATGGACAAATGTAGGTCCAAGAATCAAATCAATGGGAGATACAATCAAAATAAAGAAGTGAACAATGACAGGTTAAAGGTCAACCATAACCAATCAAGATCGAGGTCTACAGGACAAGCTGGAACCATATGTAGGGAAATTTAAACACTTCAATCCTACGTAAAGTTTTTGCCGATGGTATTGTTCAGAATAACGATGAAAGCTCCACGATCAAACCAACTCAGAGAACAAAATTCCACCCAAAACTGAATGAGTTTCTTAAATAAAAGTATATAATACTCCACTGTACCATGAATAATTTTATTTCAACTGGTTACTGTCGTAATGGTTTGACATAGCACTAGCAAACATAAAACGACTAGAGACCTGACTAAAATGTGAGATAAATGCTTTGACTTGCAAAAAAAGCTTGACTGCTTTGATTGTTTAAAATATTTATATGTGATAATTTACTGTGAGAACCAGACATTATATCACACGTGATAATACACATACAATCGTTATGAAATTCAATTAATAAAGATAGACAACCATCAATATAATGAATGTCAAACGAAAAGAATGGTGGGGAACGCTGTGGCGCGT